CATTACATACATAGTTTGATGATTTGCTGTTTCCCAAACCCGTCGCTCCAAAGAACATTCGCAAACTGCGTCGCAAACTTGAGCACTTGCAACTTCACCTCTGGAGCTGTAGTTAGAAACAAAGTTCCTGGCTGTGTTCTAATCCCACTTATCCCTCCCTATGCCCTATTCATTTAGAACATTCTAACATTCAAAGTTAAAAATAAAAATTAAAAATGCATTAAAGTCATCTCTCAAACTGTTTTTACAGGTCAGTTTTAGCGATCTTCATGTTTACAATTGTGCTCCCTTCACAGTGCACTTTGAAAACATTGATGTCATTTTGAACACAGCCTCATGGCGAAAGCTATAGGTGACATATTATTTAAAAGCAGAATTTATGTTACGTCTCAAAAGCTTGTGAAAACAAAAAGCAAACATCAATTCTTTTAATTATTAGTGGGTTATTCATTAAGCATCTGTATTCTATTTGACATGGGCCTGCCGGTTAGAACAATTCTGCAGTGATTTACAAGTGTCAAATTGTAAAAGTAGCGTTTTCAAAAAATAAATAAATAAATAAACAATGTCCTACTTAATAATAATATTAATAATCAACATAATTAATATTACTATTAAAGTATGTTTTTTTCCATTTCTAATAAATAATAAATATTACATTTCATTTTATAATAAATAGCCTCAATATTTATTTATTTATATGATTTATATGATATTAGAATACGTGTTAGCTTTTGTAAGTGATAGAACACGTATTGTTCAACTTCTCAATAATATTAGTAAAGGAAACACAGGTCCTATATGTGCCATTTACATATATTTGAGTTAAAATGGAAGCGACTGCATGTTTTTACCAAATCTATTATTGGATTTTATTTTAAATGCGTGTGCGTGTAAAACAATATAATTTGCACAAATAAATTATGGGTTCTTCTCTAAAGAAGTAGTTACTCCACCCAGATTAGAGCATCATTATGGGCATTTTACGTTATAACTAATGTAGTTTAAGCGATGGATCTGCGACAGAGAAACTAGTGGTTTTGGGAAACACTCGTCACTACATCGTTCTTTTCTCAAACAATAAAAGTTCAGCCACGAGTTATGGCGTTGTTTGGGAAATGCACCCCTGGCCGGTAAAATAACCGATCACAGGTTGCCGTATAGGTCAGAATCAGCTCATTATCCATCAAAACACAAGTTTGATAACCAATAAGTAGGGCCAGACAGAATCTGCAAACAATTTGTGCTATTTCTGAGCAGAATATTGTGAAACATCTGTGGATTTATGCGGAATGATTTTGGGTATATTGTAACTAAAAACGTAATGTAAAAAAAAAAATTATACATTTTTTACTTTTATTTAATATTTACAATGCAAATCCTATTACATCCATTTAATTGGTAAACAAAGCAAGTCTCTCATATATCTACCATATATCTACTAAAAGACTGCATTGTACAGTCTATTGTATCTACAGTTTTGTCGTAGGCAAATCATAAGAACGTTTTCATATTAGTCAGTAATATTAGTGAAATTAAAAAACTGAATAAATATAAATTTACAAAGATTTACATACAACTAATAAATAGACTCAATGATGAAATGGAAATCTGCGGATTTCTCCACGCACAGATTCCGTGTGGTTCTACCAATGAGATGTAATTGGTATCCTGAAGAATGCATATTTATTTACAGTAACTACTGAAACAGGTGACCCCCGCATAGTCAATGTATAATTCGCTCCCCAATAACAACACCAACTTAGACAATATGTCCCTTTATGTTAAAAATGTTAATAAAAGTCACTTTTTAAAAGGTTAAAAGTTGTTGAAAGAAAGATCGCATAATGCAAAATACAGATGCTAATTTACAGATTTTTTTACATGCTCATTTCTGGTTTATACACAAAATATAATGACCACAAACTCTACAAATATCCAGAAAGCACCATAAAAGCAGTGAGTTTGACAAAGTGGCGCATTTTGAATGTCAAAATAATGTTTGTATTCAATTTGCTGTGAATACATGATGACAGAATCTACCATTTTGAACGAAAGTTCCCCATTAACGCATTCAAATGTCTATTTTCTCTCACAGTTGAACATGTCAGCCCTAAAAAAGCATTTAAAATGCACCTGATAGTAACATAATGGCGTTGATTTGCAAATCCCAAAGCTCTAAAAATGCACTCTAACACTGTGTAAACTAGTATATTAGTATTACGTATAAACTAAACCATGAAATCTGCTAATCTACACTATTAAATGACTAAATCAATACTGTATGGCACTGGCTGTTTAGAGCAGATCCATCAAAGCTATTATTTGTGACCAACAGGCACTTCAGAATAAATCAGAGGGAACTGTAAAAGATCATCTTCTTCTCTCTGTTAATTGTTTACAGACCTATTTTTGTGACAATCCTAGATTTTTTGTTTATATCGCCAAAGTTAAATCCAACAAAGGCTCATTTTGAAAACATAGCCCCGTATACATTTCTGGAGTTCGCAAGTTATGTAGCCAGAGTATGACTGGAGTTTGTCTTTAAAACAAATGCTATGATGCTGTTCCTATTCACGTTTACCAGCTGACCGCTTACCTCCAATGTGGACGGCTTTTTCACTGTTACCAGTTTGTCCGGTACGTCAAAGGATTTGAGACGCAGAGTAGAGTTGACCGTGACTACAGAGTTCAGGTCTGGCAAAGAACGGTTCCAAGAAGCAGATAAGACAAAAACTAAAATAACATGGTGAGAATGTGGTAAAATCTGAAAACGTGGTAAAAATCAGGCTGCCGCAAGGGCTTTTCTTTTTCTCAAGCGCTTTTGAAAACACTATTGGTTGGGTGTAAGGAAGGAGGAGGGTGGGTCAGACATTCAATCGGTCGACAGCGGTCTCTGGTAGATTTATGTGAGAACAGCAGGCTCGTACAGCACTCGCAAGAGAAGTTTGAGATCTGAAAAGTGTACACAGCGCCCTCTAGTGGATTCACCAAAACAAGAACTGCAAAAAAAACATAGCTCCTGGGACGTATTTGGTGCTTTCCAGAAAAGTATACAGGGGTGCGCATTCAGAATGAGCCTGGGTTGCTTTAACTGTAAAATATCATCTTCCTCTCTTCGGTAATTGTTTACAGGCCTATTTTTTTTGACAATCCTAGATTTGTTGTTGATATCGCCAAAGTTAAATCTAACACAGGCTCATTTTGAAAACGTAGCCCCGTATACATTTCAGAAGTTCGCAAATTATGTAGCCAGAGGTATGTATGGCTGCATTTCAACTTTAAAACGAATGCTATGATGCTGTTCCTATTCACGTTTACCAGCTGACCGCTTAACTCCATGTGGCCTGCTTTTCCACTGTTACCAGTTTGTCCGGTAGCTCGTCGCATACGTCGAAGGATTTGAGACGCAGAGTAGAGTTGACCATGACTATGGAGTTCGAGTCTGGTGAAGAATGGTTCCAGAAAGCAGATAAGACAAAAACTAAAGCCAAAGAATATAATAAACAAGTAAATAACCGGGTAAGAATGTGGTAAAATTTGAAAATGTGGTAAAAATAAGGCTGCCGCAAGGGCTTTCCTTTTTCTGAAGTGTTTTTGAAAATACTATTGGTTGGGTTTAGGGAAGGAGGAGGGTGGGTCAGTCATACAATCAGTCGACAGCGGACTCTGGTAGATTTACAAGAGAACAGCAGGCTCGTACAGCACTCGCAAGAGAAGTTTGAGATCTGAAAAGTGTACACAGCGCCCTCTGGTGGATATCGCCAAAACAAAAACTGCAAAAAAACGTAGCTCCTGGGATGCATTTGCTGCTTTCCAGAAAAGTATATAGGGGTACGCATTCAGAATGAGCCTGGGTTGGTTCATTCGCATGACAAGAAAAAAAATACTAATCAACTTGATACGAAATCACAAACGCAACACACGAACTAAACTCATGAGTCATTCATAAGTCTCTATATTGTTGACATACTCTGTACTTAACGGCTGATTGTAAAAAAATATGTTTTACAATCTCTCTGTGGAGAACATGTAATCAAATACACAGCATTTGAACGAGCAACACCAAGTCTGTACATTTTCTTTTGATGAACACAGTAGCTTGCTGATAAAACAATACTTTAATAGTCATGTTTTGGCACTTTATGTTATTATATTGATCTTGATCTAATCGTAACACCGCAACGTAACCCGTCTCTGTGAAATCAGATTCACACTCTAAACCAGCGGTCACCAATCTCGGTCCTGGAGGGCCCGGTGTCCCTGCAGGGTTTAGCTCCAACTTGCTTCAACACACCTGCCTGGATGTTTCAAGTATACCTAGTAAGACCTTGATTAGCTTGTTCAGGTGTGTTTGGCTATGATTGGAGCTTAAATCTGCAGGACACCGGACCTCCAGGAACAAGTTTGGTGACTGCTGCTCTAAACTAAAAATGTGCTGTCAGATTGGTGGACTGATATATCTCCGACTACATTTTAACAGTTCACATTCTCTATGGCTCATAATGCAATTTGAAAATTCACCCTAGTTTCCGCTGCCTTGTCAATTTGGCGGGCTGTTGGTGTGAAGTGTACAGCCTCTGTTCTGCATTATTGACGAAAAACAAAACTACAAAATGACATTCTTTATGCACGGCGTGTGATCTTCATCTTAGATTAATTAGAAAGCCTTCAAATAGTTGCATTAAAGTAAAAAAAAAGCAACTTTTGTCAGTAGTTTTGGCACTACAAATACATCCCTAGATGGATTATTTCTAATTTATAATTTCCTATAGGGTTGGAAAATCTGTGTGAACTTTTTTATTTCAGTATGTTGATGTACTGAAACAGAATATTAAATAGAGGGCGGGGCTTTATTTTTTTGCATCATTCCCTCATAGCAAACTAACGGTAAGAGGGGCGTGGTTAAGAATATTGTGGCTGAAGTCGTCAAACTGACGTCATCAAAGAAGCCCCGCCCCTTTAAACGTGTTGAGACTTTGATTGAAGATTACCAAAACTTTTTTTTTAAAATTCAGAAAATTAACTTGCACAGATTAATCGTTCACCTAAAGAATAACAATGTGAGCTAACAAAATAAACTCAATTTTGATCTCGTGAAGTAATATCCAGGGATTTCATGAATATTTCATAGTCTAATTGTGATTGGTCGTCCCTACTGCAGGTGAAGAGAGTGAGTTGAAGGGCGGGGCTTTAGGGGGGATTGGGCCGATCAGGCGCTCAGGTTGGCAGGTTGAGGTTGACTGTCTCGGCCAGAGGGCTGGACATGCGTATCTGAGAGCTGCTCTTGCTGAGGATGGACAGCTGCGTCCCCCCGTTCACCCCACTGCTCGCTAGCGAAGGGTGACGCTGCTGCTTCAGGTCCACAGCAAAGTACCTGTTCACCGTCCAACTCCTCCATTTCCTCTTTATCTCCGACTGCACCTTTAGGGAGAAACTTGAAAAGGTCATTTTTTTAATGTACTCAGCTGTAAAGGTGCACGCGTTCTCCACCAGTCCACACTCATGCTTTACATGTTTGCAGCCAGATGTGACGTGACATACATTTCCTATGTCAATCAAAACCAATCATGTCATTTTCTGCCCAAATGCTATAGCCAATCAGAACATATCTTATGTGTTAGGGTGCTTTCACACCTAGACGTTAGTTTCAGAACCTGACACGTTTTCACTTAGCGCGGTTCGACTGGGCCTTTGCGAAACCCGCAATTGCGCTCTGATCCACGCCAAATCAATCGGTCAGAGACCACCGGAATGTCTCGTCTCTGTATCGGTTTGGTTGGAGTAAAAAAGCAATACGACCCAACGAACTATATCACAGTGTATATGTATATTTATATATATATATATATATATATATATATATATATATATATATATATATATACAGGGTGGGCTATTTATATGGATACACCTTGATAAAATGGGAATGGTTGTTGATGTTAACGTCCTGTTTGTGGTCACATTAGTATATGTGAGGGGCCAAACTTTTCAAGATGGATGGTGACCATGGCCATTTTGAAGTCGGCCATCTTGGATCCAAATTTAGTTTTTTTAATAGAAAGAGGGTCATGTGACACATTGGGCTTATTGGGAATTTCACAAGAAAAGCAATGGTGTGCTTGGTTTTAACGTAACTTTATTCTTTCATGAGTTATTTACAAGTTTCTGACCACTTTAAATTGTGTTCATTGTGCTGCCCATTGTATTGGATTGTCAATGCAACCCATAGCAACACCGCAGGAGAAATGCCAGCACAGGCTTCCAAGTCTCCATAGTTTCAGGTAATGCACATCTTGTATCTTCACACCATAGACAATTGGCTTCAGATGACCCCAAAGATAAAAGTCTAAGTGGGTCAGATTGGGAAACTTTGGGGGCCATTCAACTGGCCCATGATGACCAATCCACTCTTCAGGAAACTGTTCATCTAGGAATGCTCGGACCTGACACCCATAATGTGGTGGTGCACCATCTTGCTGGAAAAACTCAGGGAACTTGCCAGCTTCAGTGCATAAAGAGGGAAACACATCATCATGTAGCAATTTTTAAATATCTAGTGGCCTTAAGGTTTCCATTGATGAAGAATGGCCCCACTATCTTTGTTGTCTATGGTGTGAAGTTGACTTTTATGTTATCAAAGCCAAGTCAGTGTTGACTTGTCGCTGGTGACGTCATCAATAAAGCACAAGATGCAAATGTTTCCATGCCACAATTAGTGATTTATTTTTGAATACATACATATGCTGTTTGACAGCTCATAACATGTTGCAAAAACAATGCAACATTACCAATGACTAATTTCAGAGCAAAACAAATGCACTGTCAACACTTTCATTTAGCTAATAATGTAACAATAGCGAGGGCTAATTTTAAATAACTGCAGTCAACACACTGCAGGGGTCCGTTCTTCGTACCTCGCTTAAATGATCTAAGATGATTTGGCAGATCCTGGATCTTTTAATCTTGATAACTGATCTCTCGCTAATTTGATTCTTTGGTTTGAGAATCAGATAAGATAGTCTGGATAAACTGATCTGAGATCGCTGCGTGTGTTGTGAAGGACAGATCTATCGATCCTCGAAATCATGATCAGCAATGCAACGATTGGCTGACGGCACAGCAGCGTAATGACATCATCTGATTAATATTCAATTATCCATGTGAGCAAAATTACATAAAATTAGCAGTAAACGGCTTGTTAAATTAGACACGCAATAACCTTCCATATTTGCTGTGAGCTGCAGGCTTTACACTTTCATGTGTCAAGAGTATTCATCATGTATTTCAATGCATATTAATGTATTTAGTTCTACATTTAGAAAAGATTTTCTTTATTATAGTAGCCGTTTTTTATCGCTGTATGGAATAACTGGATGTTTACAAAAGCCTTTTGATACTAGTAAAGGTGTCTGCAACTTTTGTAAAGCATAAAATCACTGGCATATTAACTATCAAAACATGTTTATGACTGCATAAATGTATTATTGCTTTTTTTAAACAAAAAAAAAAGTCAAATATTTTGCATTTCTATTATACGCAATTTGTACGAAAGCAATCTAAAAAGTTCATATCAATAAGTTTTCTCTTTGCACCACCAGGTGGCAGTACTTTGTACTTTCATTTCGAGGGTGCAGATTGCATAAGTTTTATTAATATGTATAACTTTATTTATGTTATTAATGACTATAACTTTATATATATAGTTAAAAAATATGTACCATTTTCCCAAGTGTATATAACTACTACTGTAAGAAAATATCAGAAATCAGAACATACTTTTTTCTGTATTATCTTTGCTTGAACTAAGCCGATCTAATCCTGTTTATATGAATTGAACCTGCTCCCGATCAGGTTTGACCTAGCAGAACTGTTGCTATGACAACAACTCTCGGATCAGCTCTGAAGAACGAAACGATCCTGGATCGTGTCAAATCGTCAATATCCAAATCCAGCTAACTGAGTAATCCACGTACGAAGAACAGACCCCCAGTTCAAGTAAGTAGCAATAACAGATATTTTAATGCAGAAACAATGCATACGTCTTCATTTTTAACTCACATTAACTTTTTGGTTTACTTCCGATATAGAATCGATATATTTTTACAACCCTTGACAACTGAAATGAGGCTATGTATGAGAGATTCTTACTTCTGATTTATATTTGGTGATGACTTTGTCTGTTGGTGTCACTATTCAAAACTAAAAGGCACCTTTTCGCTTATAATGTCTCATTTGTCATCATCATTAATTTAAAAAATGACGTATGACAGCTGAGCGGAATCCTGGAAAAATAAACTAAACTCTGACCAAAGGGAGGTGAGTTTACACGGACGTGACTTGTTTTAATAATTTTGGTCCGTTTAGAAACTCTGCCGTGTGAAAGCGAACCACACCAAGAACAAAGAGCAACGTTGTTACAATTTAAATCCCTGTTTCAGAACAAAACAATCAATCTCCAGTGAAAAAGCACCCTTACATTTGGACCAGTGAGGGGTTATGGTGGACGGGGCTACCTAGTGCGATGCCACGAATAATAGATATATATTATCCTTTACTCATTTAGCAGATGCTTTTATCCAAAGTGAGAAATAGATGATTCATTTTCACTTTTTCACATCAGACCTGGTTGAGACATGCTATAAAAGTGTTCTTCATCAACTAAATATTTGTGTATACAAATATTTATCTTTGGATATTGTTTCCTGGCAGCAACTAAATGTTTTTTTCCTCCAATATATACACAATAATGTGTGATTTATAGATATTAAATGTTGTTTAATTGTCAAAACTACTGATGGCATTTCTTACAAAATAACAAGAAAACAAATGATTTCAGATAGTTACACTCAAAAAAGTACTTGTGCTGCTTGTTCAAACTACCCTGTGAAAAAAAAGCTGACTCAACTTAAAATTAAGGTAATTAGCTTCAGGACATTTTTGAGTTTACTGGACATAAATCAAGTGCAGTGCTTGGGTTGAAAGTTAAGTCAACTCAAAAAAGCTCTGCAGCAAGTTGCCTTACAATTTTGAGTTGAGTCTACTTTTGTTTTACAGTGTACTTATTTGCAATGAGCTGAAACAACTCAACTTTTAATTTTTGGGGACAGTTTAATTGTTTCTAAATCCACTTAAATCTGTAAAAATGAGTCAACGTAATAAATTTGTGTTGGATGAACATGAAGGAGCTGTGTGTAACCCAGCATTTTTTACTGTGTTTATTAATTTGTACACTGAAAAAAGATCATTCAAAGATGATTCCTTGGATTTACTAAAATGTTTTAAGTTAAGTGGTTGTAAACAATTTATTTGGGCTAAATTTAAACAAACAAATTAAGTTGAAAATTTACTCTATTTGATTTGTTTGTTTAAATCAACACAAATAAATTGTTTGCAACAATTTTGCAGAAAGCATTTTTTTTTTCAGTGTAGAAAACACAACATCAATGTTTTAACTTCAGAAGAGTTAGGGAATCAGTATTTGGTGGAATAACCCTGATTTTCAATCATGACAAATAAAAACATTTGGAAAAAAAAAGATGCTGTAAATGACAATATTTCTACAGTATTTGATATTTGGAGGAAACATTATCACACATTTCACACAATTGCAGAAATAAACTAATATTAACATAAAAAATAAATAAATAAAAAACAGTCTATAGTATATATACATATAGTCAGGTCTGAAATCATTCATACCCCTGACAAATTTTGATTTAAAGATACTTTTTATCAACCAGCAAGTTTTTTTAATAAGATGACGTACAAGAGGCTTCAATGTGAAAAACAATTCTCAGATTTTCATTTTATTTACTTTTGAACAAAAACTTTAATTCTGAATTAGCCAGGGGTGTGAATAATTTTGGGCTTGACTATACACTCACCGCCTACTTTACTAGGTACGCCTTACTAGTACCAGGTTGAATCCCGTTTTGCCTTCAGAACTGCCTTAAGCCTCCATGGCATAGATTCAACAAGGTACTGGAAATATTCCTCAGAGATCTTGGTTTATATTGACATGATAGCATCACGCAGTTGCTGCAGCTGCACATCCATGATGCCAATCTCCCATTCCACCACATCCCAAATGTGCTCTATTGGATTGATATCTGGTGACTGTGGAGGCCATTTGTCGCGCACAAGAAACCAGTCTGAGATGATTCATGCTTTATGACATGGAACGTTATCCTGCTGAAAGTAGTCATCAGAAGATGGGCACACTGTGGTCATAAAGGGATGGACATGGTAAGCAACAATACTCAGGTAGGCCGTGGTGTTGACACAATGTTCACTTGGTACTAATTGGCCAAAACTGTGCCAAGAAAATATTCCCCACACCATTACACCACCACCACCAGCCAGAACCGTTGAAACAAGGCATGATGGATCCATGCTTTCATGGTGTTGATGCCAAATTCTGACCCGACCATCTGAATGTCACAGCAGAAATGGAGACTCATCAGACCAGACAACGTTTTTCCAATCTTCTATCGTCCAGTTTTGGTGAGCCTGTGTGAATTGTAGCCTCAGTTTCCTGTTATTAGCTGACAGGAGTGGCACCCGGTGTGTTCTTCTGCTGCTGTAGTCCATCCGCCTCCAAGTTGGATGTGTTGTGTGTTCAGAGATGCTCTTTCGGTTGTAACGAGTGGCTACTTGAGTTACTGTTGTCTTTCTATCAGCTCGAAAATGCATGTCTAAATGCACTGAGTTGCTGCCATATGATTTGCTGATTATAAATTTGCATTAACGAGCAGTTGTACTGGTGTACATAATAAGGTAGCTGGTGAGTGTATATATATATCTAAAAAATTGTAAAATAAAGTATAACATAGAGGTGGTTTATAAGGACAAGGATGATGTTGTGAGTCATGATAATGTTTTATGTCCTCATAATTCAAAATGCTTAGAAAAAACATACTTAACAGGGCAGCAATTTGAAATAAAGTTCAAAATCTGCCACAGGTTTCTTGTGAGGGTTGGGTTTAGGGGTAGGGGTGGTGCAAGACCATGTATTAAGTATGCTTTATGGTATAAAATACAGTATTCAAATGGAGAGTCCTCATAAGCCACATCATGTATACATGTGTGTGTGTGTGTAAATATTTAGTTGCTGTGGAAACAGATTTTCTGAGCAAATCAAGACATATATGCACAGAATGAATATTAAACCAAAGTTGATTGCATGCATTTCAGAATATCAGAACAAGAGCTCTTACCTCTCCATTCAGAAAGCAGTACAGCACAGCCACAACAAACCCCTGCAGAGAGATAAAGAAAGATTTCGGTTTAATAAATTCGATTACTCTGATGCTGCAAAGTGGTCCTACCAAAATGGCCGAATAGTTTCTAGTCATATCAGCCTAGAAAATAGCAAATGTAGACAACGTAAACAGTGTGCGAATTATTCATTGAAGACCGGGGTGGCGCAGTAGGTAGTGCTGTCGCCTCACAGTAAGAAGGTTGCTGGTTCGATCCTCGGCTCAGTTGGTGTTTCTGTGTGGAGTTTGCATGTTCTCCTTGCGTTCGCGTGGGTTTCCTCCGGGTGCTCCGGTTTCCCCCACAGTCCAAAGACATGTATTTCATTATGAAATGTGTATCATTATGAATGTATTTCAATTACATTTCATTTCATTTTCTTGTCGGCTTAGTCCCTTTATTAATCCGGGGTCGCCACAGCGGAACGAACCGCCAACTTATCCAGCAAGTTTTTTCGCAGCGGATGCCCTTCCAGCCGCAGCCCATCTCTGGGAAACATCCACACACACATTCACACATTACGGACCATTTAGCCAACCCAATTCACCTGAACCGCATGTCTTTGGACTGTGGGGGAAACCGGAGTACCCGGAGGAAACCCACGCGAAGGCAGGGAGAACATGCAAACTCCACACAGAAACGCCAACTGAGCCGAGGTTCGAACCAGCGACCTTCTTGCTGTGAGGTGACAGCACTATCTACTGCGCCACTGCGCCCTCAATTACATCTAATCTAATAATAAAATGTATACGCTTCAGTGTTTTGAGGGACATTTAATGACTACTTTAGTGGTTACTGTAGGTCAAACTATACAAATGATGTGTCTAAAGTTTCTTTTTTTGGTCTACATGTAGATATAAACACCTGTTTTGTCAGAATTTTCTTTTTTTTAATACTTAAGATGTCTATCGGTGCTCTAGAACTGCCAGCTTCAGATTGTTGAATATTTTTCCTAGCACTGATTGGTGCGATAATGCATTTACAATGGCATACACCGTTATAGGGGGATCAAATTTAATTTGTATTATACATGTTGAATTATTAATATTTCAGATATAGATCAGAGAGGAAGCTATTTCTTACTATTAAGGAGTAAGAAATACACCCCCCCCCATACATCTTGCTTTAATGTTCTTCAGGGGGATCAAATATTATTAGAGGGGTCAACCCCCCTCTACCCCCCCTTCCCCCTCCCCCTGTAATTACCACCCTGAACGCAATTACAGAAGAGTCAAGCTTTAAATATGTAAATATATTTGCGTTATTTTTGAGCAAGATGCTAATGGTCTAATCTGATTTAATAATCTATGCTGAGCTAAGCAAAGCTAAAGCAAAGCTGAAGGGGATTGGTAAAATGAGAGTATTATTATATTATTATTATTTATTATCTTTATTAAAAAGTGTTTTTTTATTGTCTAATATATATATATATATATATATATATATATATATATATATATATATATATATATATATATATATATATATATATATATCTTTGATCAGACTACATTTTTTAAACAAATCATTTCAAAATATTAGAGAAATGAGTTGATGTGGAATGCATATACAGTTAAAGTCAGAATGATTCACCCACCTGTGAACTTTGTTTTCTTTTTCAAATATTTCTCAAATGATGTTTAACAGAGCAATTTTTCACAGAGCATTTTTCACAGTATGTCTGATAATATTTTTTCTTCTGGAGAAAGTCTTTATTTTAGTTTTATTTCGGCTGGAATACAAACAGTTTTTAATTTTTTAAACACCATTTTAAGGTCAATATTATTAGCCCCCTTTAGCGATATTTTTATTTTTTGTTATAGCCTACAATGATTTGCCTAATTACCCCAATCGCTTAGTTAACCTAATTAAATTAGGTCTTTGAATGTCACTTTAGGCCAGGGGTTTTCAAAGTGTGAGGCGCGCCTCCCCTGGGGGGCGCCAGAGCATGTCAGGGGAGGCGCGGGAAAAAATATAATATAATAAAAATATAATTATTAAGTTTAATTATTTTATGTATTTTTATTATATTTAAACGTTTTAATTAAACAAAGCAAAAAAAAAATAATACGTCAAATATAAGAAAACCTTTTTTACCCAGAGGCCATCGCTTCTGTTTGGCAAGCCCGCCAATACAGGTATATGCCTGCTAATACAATGGGTCGGTTTCTGAGACCCCTGATTCAAAGCTGTAATGAAGTTCGGCCCTTTGGCCGCCGGGAAGAAGGAGGCGGAGAACCGACGCAGTTTTAAAATGATTTATTAATAACAGTGACGGCAGCTCCTCACGTAGGCTGCCGTCAAACTGAAAGCAAAAGTAAAATATGTCCGGGCCCGGTCCTCTCTCGGCTTCCTCTGCCCTCGTTCCTCCTTTTATGATCCAGAGCTCCTTCCGTAGGATCCGAGGCAGGTGCGCACCGCAGGTGTATCCACTTATGCGGTGGCCTCACACCGTTCCCACGGCTCTCGGCCACGCCCCCTCGCCACAAAAGCCTTCAAGTTCAGGGCTTATACCCAAAAAGACGACGATATGATGATCAGTATTTGAGTTTAGGATTTACGTGGACAGGACCAGCTGATGAACCACGACCTTTATGTGTGGTTTGTCAAAATATTTTGGCTAATGACAGCATGAGACGCGCTAAACTTCGACTGTTTTGACTGGGATGGACAGTTCTTGGATCTGTTCTATTCATATTGAACCATCATCCTAGTTTTAAAAACGTTATATTAAAATACTTATTACTCTGTAAATAATTGCACTTTCATGCAAATGATGATAAAAGTGAGTTAACAGTCTGACATCTGTCTGTGTCTTTATATATACTTTATATATATATTTATATATATATGTGTATGTGTGTGTGTGTGTGCGTGCGTGCGTGTTTGGAAGGAGGGGGGCGCCAATGGATAAGTTGTGTCAAAAGGGAGGCCCACTGTCTTAGACTTTGAAAAACCCTGCTTTAGGCTGTATAGAAGTGTCTTGAAAAATATCTAGTCAAATATTATTGAAAACAGAATTAAAGTAAAAAGAAAAAGCTTTAAAGCTAATCTTGAACCCAAGCTTATTCTAAAAACAGAAAGCCTCATGCTTAAAACTGTTGCAATCGCACCTTAAAATGCCAATTCTGGCAGCACTCTTGGGTTTAGAACAAAGAAACACTGTGCATGGAGGTGTTTCTAAAACACAGCATTGAAGTTGTTACTATAAACACTTGGTACCTGGAAGGAGCCCAGGCCGAGCTCAAAGACCAGTCGCTCCCGCTTGCTGAAATCCTCCGGGGAAAAGGCAAACACAGTGTAGTGGATCCCAAACAGAGGAATGAGGAGAAGGGTGGAGCGCGCCAGACGTCTGTCAACACACACACACACCGGCGTTTCAGAAGGATGATTGAATCTCTCACCATGTCAACACAGAATTACGGTAATACACTGGGGATCAGAGCCCTTTACAACAGCCCTGTTTCAGATGAAGGTCTGTTTGATATCTCTATTGTTTCTCCCAGACAGCAATATGATGAGATCTTCTTCTCAGATGCTTCAGGACAACAATAATCGCAAATGTGTCTGCTCTTCTGACTTTCAAAAGAGATTTCAGCTATGCATGTCAGTGCTTTATACACGTACTGCAATAAAAAATGTACAAATCCAGACAGTTCTCATCAGAAGAGGAGTATAAGATGTAGTTATTAGGGTTTACACTTGTGCTGAACTAAATTAGATAGTTTTAGTGTTAATTTATTCAAAAGATTTCACTTGTTAAAGTGAAGATCAAATCTTTTGAATAAATTTGACTAAAATAAATATTAAATCACAATACTTAACTTCACGTCTACACTCTCATCTGTTTTGGTAGAAATCCTTTCCATTTTATCAGAAAATATAATGTAATTATTGTTTTGATTCACTAAATAAACATGAATGTCCATCTCTTGTTTTCTACAGTAAGTCAGTGCATCCCAATATACAACTCTAGTAAATATTTTGTGAAACTGAAGTAAATTTAAATACTATCCATTGATCATACCTACAGTGCATCTGGAAAGTATTCAGAGCACTTCACTTTTTCCACATTTTTTATGTTCATGTATTTCCTCTAAATTCTACACACAATACCCCATAATGACAATGTGAAAAAAAGATTTGTTGAAATTGTTGCAAATTTATTAAAAATAAAAACCCTGAAAAATCACATGTACATCAGTATTCACAGCCTTTATCGTGAAGCTCTAAATTGAGCTCAGGTACATTCTGTTTCCACTGATCAATCTTGAGATGTTTCAGCAGCTTCATTGGAGTTCACCTGTGGTAAATTCAGTTGATTGGACATGATTTGAAAAGGCATACACCTGTCTATAAAGGGTCCCAGGGTTGACAATGCATGTCAAAGCACAAACCAAGCATGAAGACAAAGGAATTGTCTGTAGACCTCCAAGACAGGATTGTCTCAAGGCACAAGGCTGGGGAAACATTTCTGCTGCTCTGAAAGTTCCAATGAGCACAATGGCCTCCATCATCCGTAAGTGAAAGATGTTTGTAAGCACCAGGACTCTTCCTAGAGCTGGCCGGCCATCTAAACTGAGTGATCGGAGAAGAAGGGCCTTAGTCAGGGAGGTGATCAATAACCCGATGGTCACTCTATCTGGGCTCCAGTGTTCTTCTGTGGAGAGAGGAGAACCTTACAGAATGACAACCATCTGTGCAACAATCCACCAGTCAGGCCTGTCTGATAGAGTGGCCAGACGGAAGCCAATCCCTGCCAGGAATATGCCAAAAGGCGTCTGAAGGACTCTCAGACCATAAGAAACTAAATTCTCTGGTCTGATGAGACTAAAATTGAACTCTTTGGAGTGAATGCCTGGCGATACGTTCAGACAAAACCAGACACCACTCTTCATCAGGCTAATACCATCCCTACAGTGAAGCATGGTGGTGGAAGCATCATGCTGTGAGGATGTTTTTCAGCAGCAGGAACTGGAAGACTAGTCAGGATAGAGGGAAAGATGAATGCAGCAATGTACAGAGACATCCTGAATGAAAACCTGCTTCTACTTCCCAAAAGTGCTCTTGACCTCGGACTGGGGCGACAGTTCATCTTCCAGCAGGACAATGACCCAAAGCACACAGCCAAAATATCAATAGAGTGGCTTCACAACAACTCGGTGAATGTCCTTGAGTGGCCCAGCTAGAGCCCAGACCTAAATCTTATTGAACATCCCTGGAGAGATCTGAAAAAGGCTGTACACTGTCGCTTCCCATCCAACCTGATAGAGTTTGAAAGTTGAAAAAGCTTGAAAATTTCCCAAAGACAGGTGTGCCAAGCTTGTGGCATCGTATTCAAAAAGACTTGAGGCTGTAATCCCTGCCAAAGGTGCATCAACAAAGTATTGAGCAAAGGCTGTGAATACTTATGTACATGTGATTTTTCAGGTTTCTTATTTTTAATACATTTCCAACAATTTAAAAAACTCTTTTTTCACATTGTCATTATGGGGTATTGTGTGTAGAATTCTGAAGCACTAAGAATACTTTCCGGATGCACTGTGTATTCTTTCTTTAGCCGCATCAGGTGCTATCTAGTGAATTTACTGCTAAGCTACTATGGGCAAAATGATGCCTGCATGACTCAAATAGTAATATATCATACTGCCTATAGTCAACATGCAGCCTGTTCTGATGAACGGAGGTCTCAAGGGTTTAGAATAACATGACAGTGAGTAATTAATACCATAATTGTTTTATTAGGTGAACGAACACTTGACCAGACTTGACCAGCCTGTGTAAAACCTATTGAATGTTCTGTAGTTCTGTGCATGGGCTCAACTCTCAGGGAATACAAATGACAGACATACATATATACAAATACCATTGCAATGTATGAAAGGTGCTGTATGTAAGTTTTTGACTCTTCTAAAGCACAAAAATAACATACCATGATTGCAGATATTTAAGAGACGTGCACATATTTGTTTGCCTGAAGAACAATGTTAAAATCAGATATTCTCCTTTGAATATGTGTGTCCTGTGTCAGAATGTCTGTCTTTGTTTTGTTCTCTATAACCAGCCCACTGCCAATTTACTCAATGATACTTCAGCAATCTGGGTTTTCTTGGTGGAAAACGCACCGTATTTTATTTCAGTCTTGAAGGCTGCTTCAATGTGCAACAACTGCAGCCTCCGAAATGAGACGCAGATTCAGAGTTAAAAATCCACATTAGGTGATTTGTATTAGCAAATAATTTAACTATGATAAATTTTAACATTAGCTTAGCAGCGTACATTGTAACGCCGTTTTTCTTAACAACACGCAACTCAACAAGATTTCAGCAACAAGAAATTTAACTGTCTGCACCAGACGCAATATAGGTAAAACATTTAAATACCAGCCATCCAGAAGCACAGAATAGTGCACTGCACTTCAACTGAATTATTAAATCTACATGCTTAGTGAATGATATTTGTTGCTTTGTACTGAGTCACAGTTCTAGCGTTCATTTTCTAGTAAGTTTATTTTATTTTCAAGATCTGAGGTAAACTATCTGGACTTTAAAAAATGCTTGCTTCCACACAAATGATTTGTGTTGAGATAACACGAAGGAATCAAGTTAACGTACTAGTTTTTACAAATTTAATTTGACTGAATCTAAAACAATTAAGTTGTCCCAAAGAATTGTGTTGCTTTAGCTCATTTTAAATAAGTAATTTAAACAAACAGCAAAGTAAGTTTTTGAGTGTTCACACTACACACGGATGCAGCCTCAATCACCAGTGACTTACTTGACAAGTCAATGGAAAGACGCAAATAGACATTCTGTAGCATGATTTGCATGAAAGAGGCGGCAAAAAAAAAAAAAAAAAAAAAAAAAAAAAAAAAATATATATATATATATATATATATATATATTAGTTTTTTATACAAACTAATTAATAGATTATATATAAACTGAACTGAAGAGTTCAGATGCTAAAACCTGTAACAGCCATTTGAAATGTCCTATTTTTATCAGCAAAATTGAGTGTTTTGCGCACTTGACGCACTTAACGATTGAATAGTGAGATCGATCGAGTTGAAAAATCTTAAGTAAACATTCACGCCACGCTAACCAATCAGAAGCACGCTAACCAATCAGAAGCTTGCTCTTGCAAAGGCATGATAATATCGCAGCCCCTGCAGTTGGTGTCCTGAGAGGAAATCCTCCTGCCGACACTGGACAACAGCTCATCAAACTGGGCTCGGCTCAGTCGGAAGCACCGCTGAAAGCTTTCATCATCCAGGTATAGTTTCTGGAGGAGTTGATGAACTCACAGAGTTGGGTGCACCTCTTAAATGATCTAGTGGACTCAAACACGGCGCCGAACAAATCTACTCTGTTTTTCAGCCTTTCTAAAGCACATAAACACAGCTACTCTCTCAATAAAATCCATGTTAAGGCTGGCTCACACTGTGATTTTTTATAATCCTGAACGATTGTAGCATGTCAGACTGCACGAACATAACTCCCATGTCACACTGTAAGATCTCAGCGGTCATAAAGTCAGACTGAACGGCAATGAAGACACGCCAAACACAAAAGAAAATCCCCTTGGAGTTTGACGTCATCCGTGTTTGACATTTTCACTATTCTGCTTAATGATTCCTCACAGCAAACTTTAACAATCTGTAGCGGCAATTTTGCACACGGCAAGTCTCAATGATAAAACCAGGAAGAAAAACACTGTTTTGACATTTCCCCGTAGTCATTTGAATTGTGGCATGGATTGCGTCATTAAATTCGGAGCTCCTGTTGGTTCTTGGATTGACGCTCATCACAGCTGTTGTCACACTGCAGGAAAGTGTTTGAAATCTTCTGACACCGCCAAAACTTTATCAGAGGAAAGATCACAACAGGCACAAAGCAGCTGTCAGTGAACATTTCAAACCAACGATCAAAGTCCACAGATTTTAGCCTAGGATTTCAGGAATCTTTTAGGATTCCCCACGTTTGTCTCAGATGGCAAAATGGTTGCTGAAATCTCACAGTGTAAGCAGGGCTTTAGCCAATTAGCACGTAAATAAAGTACGTAAATAAAGCAATGGGTGCTCGCTGCAGAGCCATTTGAGGAGAGCTGAGCTCCAGCGAGGGGGAGCTTAAGCTTGAGCTCCACCTTTTTTGCACTTCTTCTACGAGTGATGTCACTGGGGGTAGGGTTAGGGGTGGGGTTGGTGTACGCATTAAAACAGCTTACAGGAGGAGGAGCGACAGCTCATGCTCCCCCTCGCTGGAGCTTATCTCTCGTCAAATGGCTCTGCAGCGAGCACCCTCTCAAATAAAGCGAGTAAACTCAAAATATTGACGCGACTATGAACAAGCGAATAGCACTATTTATTCATGTAAGCTGCATCTGGTGTGGACATTAAAGGAGGGGCTGGGTGAAAATATAATTTTGAACTGCAATACCTAGTTAAACCACTTGGGGTCAACATTACATACTGCACCTTTAAAAACAACACAGGCTTATTCTAAAAATGTAGCCCTATATACATTTCTGGAGATCGCAAATGATGTAGCCAGAGCTGCATTTTATCTTTAAAATGAACGATTTGGGGTGGTAAGATGCCGTTCCTTTTCTCGCTCTCCAGCTGATCAATTATCTCTATGTGGACGGCTTTCCTGCTGTTACCAGATTGTCCGGTAGCTCAACATGTACGTCGGCGGACTTGAGACGCAAAGCAGAGTTGACCGCGGTTACTGCGGTTACAGAAAACAAAAGCCAAAAAATAAAATAATCATGTAAATAACAGGGTGAGAATATGGTAAAATCTGTAAACGTGGTAAAAATCAGAGGGCTTTTCTTTTTCTGGGTTGCTTTTGAAAACACTGTTGGTTGGGTTTAGGGAAGGGGGTGGGCGGGTCTATCGGTGCTTTTTAAAAAAAATGCTGTTGGCTGGGTTTAAGGAAGGGGGAGGGTGGAGGTCTCAGCGGGTTGGTCAGTCAGTAAATCAGTCAGTTGACAGCGGCCTCTGGTGGATTTTTGTGAGAACAGCAGGTGCGAAATGAGATCTTTGTAAAATTTGTGAAAACAAAAACTGCAAAAAAACGTAGCTCCTGGGATGTATTTCGCGATCTCCAGAAATGTATTTAGGGGTACATTTTCAGAATGAGCCTGGGTTGTTCAAAAATCACTTTAATAAAACATCTGCTAAATATAAAGCATAAAAGTATAAATAACACGAAACAAAAACAAAAGGTACACAATACAAAACACCACGTGAAATCATAAAATAATCAGCACTCAAGTTTCACAGCCTTTTTTCCTCAATGGATATTTAAAAATAAAAAATGCACACCGACTGGCCAACACAGACTCAGACACACACACGCATACACACGCGCGCACACACACTTACAGCGTGATGGTAGAAAGCTCTGACATCCTGCACGAATGCTGGACGGCCTGTGTGGGCTCACTGAAGCATTTCTGTGCACAGCTGCTAAACACGACAAAGACAACAAACACTCTTTAGGACAAAACACACACACACACAACAAACATCAACACACAAACACACAACAAACCTCAATACACAAAAACGTACACACAACAGACCACAAAACATACACACGCACACACACACACAACAGACTTTAGTACACACAAACGCACACACGCACACACGCACACACGCACACACACACACACACACACACACACACACACACACACACACACACACACACACACACACACACCTCAAAGCTCAGAGACCTCAAGGATTCACACAGCAGTTTTTTTTCATGTGATTATACTAATTATGGGTTTAAAGAAAGTAAGATCAGCCTAAAACAACATGTCCTCTACATTATTTAGACTATTTAGATACCAAACATGAATTAAAGTCAGCAAACAAATGGCTCATCTAGAAAACTGTATAGTGTTTCGAGTCCTCACTGCTACAAAAGCCAAAAAATACCCAACAAGTTGCCTTAAAAACACTGCACCGATTTCATCTCTCATGAAATCAGCATATAATACATGTGCATAGCAGAAACTATATAACCCGATCAACAATCAAATATTCACACCCTGTGATAAATCCAACACAGGCTCATTGGAAATATATGTGCTTCAGCCTCCATTTTGTTGATGCTTGATTGCAGTTTTTAGGTAAAATGAACACTAGGGGGCAGTATGAAGCCCACACACTGTTCCTTTTCACACTACAGATAATTACTAGGAAATAATATAGGTGAATAAAGGATTATTTTCATGCAGATCATTTCTCAAAACCAAATAAACACCAAAAAGCAACTTAACAGTGTCTATGATTACATTAACATTACATTTACATGTAGTCATTTATCAGATACTTTTGTCCAAAGCGGCTTACAATTGAGGAGGCATTCAACGATTCAACAAGAAGAGGCAATACACACAAGAAGTGCTGATTATACATAGGAACTGTTAGTGTTTAGAGAGTTCAGTGCTAGAGTAAGGAGGGGGGAGTGTTTATTTTAACACCCTATGATAATTCCAAATCAGTCTCATTGTAAATATGTGCTTCAGCCTCCATTTAGTTAATGGTTGACTGCAGTTTCTAGGTAAAATGAACACTAGGGGGCAGTATGACGCCAACAACCTTTGTTTCTTTTCACACTACTGATATTTACTAGGAAATAATATAGGTAAATAAAGGATTATTATTATGCACGTCATTGCCCAAGACCAAATAAACACCAAAAAGCAACTTAACAGTGTCTATGATTACATTTACATGTAGTCATTTAGCAGATACTTTTGTCCAAAGCGACTTACAATTGAGGAGGCATTCAACGATTCAACAAGAAGAGGAAATACACACAAGAAGTGCTAATTATACATAGGAACTGTTAGTGTTTAAAGGGTTCAGTGCTAGGGCAAGGAGAGGGGTTTTTATTTTGTAGACAGAGAGAAAGAATAGTATTTCTACAGGTGGTTTGTCAAGCCCACTCACCTGTGTTTAACACAATTCATACAGTTGAAGTCAAAATTATTAGCTTTCCTTTAAATTTTTTTTTTCTTTTTTAAATATTTACCAAATGATGTTGAACAGAGCAAGGAAATTTTCACAGTATGTCTGATAATATTTTTTCTTCTGGAGAAAGTCTTATTTGTTTTATTTCGGCTAGAATAAAAGCAGTTTTTAATTTTTTAAACACCATTTTAAGGACAAAATTATTAGCCCCTTTCAGCTATATATTTTTTCGATATCTGCAGAACAAACCATTGTTATACAATAACTTGCCTAATTACCCTAACCTGCCTAGTTAACCTAATTAACCTAGTTAAGCCTTTAAATGACACTTTAAGCTGTATAGAAGTGTCTTGAAAAATATCTAGTAAAATATTATTTACTGTCATGATGGCAAAGATAAAATAAATCAATTATTAGAAATGAGTTATTAAAACTATTATGTTTAGAAATGTGTTGAAAAAATCTTCTCTCCGTAAAACAGAAATTGGGGAAAAAATTAACAGGGGTCTAATAATGCAGGGGGGCAATAATTCTGACTTCAACTGTATATGCTCTTTATATAGACATGGAGTTATTGTAAGAAAGTGTCTGGTGCAAATGTGCAAAAACTAGTCCAATTGTCTGTTAAAGTGTCAGAGAGATGAAAGTGTGTGTTTTCTACAGGTGGTTTGTCAAGCCCACTCACCTGTGTGAGGCCCACTCAAAATTGCACACTGTTTTGAGGTTGTCATGTGTTGTGGTTGTCCTGGTTTTGTTCACATATCAGTAATTGAAAATGTCTGCCTCACCTATCTATCTCCACATGGTCAACTTTTCTGGTGTGGTCAGTTTGCTCAGAAGCTTACATTGTACGGTGTACAAAGCCCTCGGATTTAAGTCCTGTGAAGCAAGCAAGCTTTCACAAAAGAGATAAAAGCAATGTCGAATCAAGGTAAAGCTATGTGGTCGCAGTACACTTTTCTCTTACACTTGCTTTTGCAAACACTATTGGTTGGGCTTGGGAAAATGTTTAGGTCAGTGGATTGCTAGTTGATCTGTACAACAAGCGCTGCCTTTTTGTGGACATGAATAAGAAGGATGTGTTTCTGAGACATACAATAAAATGTATAATATATAAACTATTAACTGATACTTAACAAGTCTTTAGTAAGTAATTTACTAACAGCTTGTTCATGATCTATTACTAATATATTAGGTATAGTTATAAATCATTAAAATACAGTTAACAAGTCATTTAGAACTTCCTAACTAACAGCTTGTAGGTTATCTGTTGGCTATCTATAAGGCACAGTTATAAATAATAAACAAACTATTAACTTTTATTTAACAAGTCATTTATAACTAATTAACTAACAGTTTAATAGTAGAGTATTAACTTGTTATAACAGATAGTTATTCTAAAGTGTTACCAGTTATAATTATTATAAACCAAAAGTGAGATATTAAGCTTTTCCCATTCACATGAAGCTATTGTTAACTAAATTCAAGCGCTATCAATAAAGTATGCGTGTTTTAATCTCTAAACAAGTGATAGATATTTTCCAAATTTATTTATTTTTTATATAAAATATCAAAAAAGGTGCCAAATTTTCAGAATTCAGACGTATAATAACAACACATAACCATCGTTTTAATTTAGAAATGTTAAAGAAAATCAATATTTGGTGGAATTAACTTTCATAATCCCAAAAAAGTGTCAATTTCTGTAAATAAATGCTCTTAAATAAAGCTATTTTATTATAATTTTAAAAGAAATATCATCAGACCCTTATGTAACAAACCAAATATAAACATTTAAATCGAATCCATACTTAAAAAAAATAGAGAATATAGAGAAAAATACTACCTCTGGATCAAACAACAGTACAAAAGTGTGACCACCACATTGTAAACTGTATTAAATCCCAGTCAGACGATTCCAAATTCGGTCAGAAATCTCAAAAGTCATCTTCTAATGCAAGCCAAATGAATGCTAGCGCTCACACTTTTAAGACTTGACGGTCTCCTTTCAGCCACTGTTTCAACCACATCAACCAATCAGACGCAACACATCAATAACACAGTGTTTTCACGCTGACTGAGACACACACAGACACACACACTCACAGATAAATGCTGGACTCGTTTCCGCCGATGTCTGGAGACTGAAGCTTCTGCACCAGGATTATGATGATCCCAATGAACAGCACAAAGTTAATCTGAAAGAAAAATGCTTGTTTATTAAATGTTTATTTCGTGGGTAAATGTATTCATTTTATTGATCTAACAAAAACGGATATTTCTCACAGCTCACCATGATTGATGCCACCACAGGGCCTTTGATCACCCACCAGAGGGCAGTGTTATCATTCATGTCCCAGCAGCTGCAGAAATACAAGTGATTTAAGGTAAGAAACTTTGCAGCCCTTTGTTGGTCGGTTTCGTCATATGATTTAGCAGCACGAAGTTCAGAACAATGTGCCAGATGAAATCATTACCCTAAATGAGCAGGATGTGTACCAAAGTGCAATATATAATGTAATATAATATAATGTAATGTAATGATCTAATCTTATCTTATCTTATATAATATAATATAATATAATATAATATAATATAATATAATATAATATAATATAATATAATATAATATAATATAATAGTTTCTCAGAGATAGGATGTGGCTAAAAGGGCATCCGCTGCGTAAAAACTTGCTGGATAAGTTGGCGGTTCATTCCGCTGTAGCGACTCCGGATAAATAAAGGGACTAAGCCGACAAGAAAATGAATGAATGAATAATATAATATAATATAATATAATATAACATGATATAATATAATATAATATAATATAATATAACATGATATAACATGATATAATATAATATAATATAATATAATATAATATAATATAATATAATATAATATAATATAATATAATATAATACAATATAATATAATATAATATAATATAATATAATATAATATAATATAATATAATATAATATAATATAACATGATATAATATAATATAATATAATATAATATAATATAATATAATATAATATAATATAAAATAATATAATATAAAAAAATATATATATAATATAATATAACATGATATAACATGATATAATATAATATAGTATAATATAATATAATATAATATAAAATATATAAAAAATAATATAATATAATATAATCTAATATAATATACCATGATATAATATAATATAATATAAAATAATATAATATAAAAAATAATATAATATAATATAATATAATATAATATAATATAATATAATATAAAATAATATAATATAATATAAAAAATAATATAATATAATATAATATAATATAATGTAATATAATATAATATAATATAATATAATGTAATATAATATAATATAATATAATATAATATAATATAATATAAAATAATATAATATAATATAATATAAAAAATAATATAATATAATATAATATAATATAATATAATGTAATATAATATAATATAATATAATATAATATAATATAATATAATATAATATAATGTAATATAATATAATATAATATAATATAATATAATATAATATAATATAATATAATATAATATAATATAATATAATATAATATAATATAATATAATATAAAAAAATGTTGGTGTCACGGGGGCACGTTTTGGAAGGGCACTTTCTATCCAAGACTAAACTGCACAGGTTGAGCCCTATGTGTGCACGTGCCTGGGTGTGGTACAGGTGAATTGGGTGAGCTAAATTGTTTGTGGTGTATTTGTGTGAATGAGAGTAATATTGCTTTCTGAACAAATCCTTATTCTAGTGACGGTGCATGCTAATCCAGTAATTCACTGCCAGCATTTGCGTAGGTATTAAAGCAACAATTACAGCATATCACTTTTAGTCTATTCGTCATCACACATACCCAGAATCATCAAAATGAAGGCGCAGAACGGCCCATATGGTCACACAAATGGTGGGCGTTCCTGAAATCCAGAAAGAAAAAGCTAAATTTGTCAGACCTCGAAATGTACACCATCAATATGAATCCAGTGAATATGCCAGCATCACAAATCACATCATAAAGAGCCAGCGGCCATTTAATTTCTCTCCATATACAGTTGAAGTCAGTTATTAACCCTCCTGAATTATTATCCCCCCCTGCATATTTTTCCCCCGGTTTCTATTTAACAGAGACATTTTTTTCAACATATTCCTAAACAGAATAGTTTACATAATACATAATAATAAACTCATTTCTTATAACTGATTTATTTTATCTTTGCCATGATGACAGTAAATAATATTTGACTAGATATTTTTCAAGACACTTCTATACAGCTTAAAGTGACATTTAAAGGCTTAACTAGGTTAATTAGGTTAACTAGGCAAGCCTTTGTATAACAATGCTCTAAATAATATCAACCTTAAAATGACCTCTTAGGGTGTTCTCACCTGCCTTATTCAGTGTTAAATCGCCCAATTGGGCTGTTTTGAATTTGATTGTGCCGGTAAAAAACAACACAGGCGGGTAGTGAACATTTGGACAGTTTTGCAACAATTAAAAAACGGTTATGATCTCCAAAAGAGATGACAAGCATCCCCACTCCTCCCCTGTTCCTCAACTTTTGCACCTCTGATGATAGCCTTCAGATGTGTGGGCAGCTCTTTTTGCATTTTGGTCGGTTTTGGATAGTTTTTTGGGCTGGAATTGGTCAGCTACATCTGGCAGCACTGGCCTTATTTAATTTGGTTGTATCACTAGAGATCGTTTTCCTTCTTGGTGCAGTTTGTTAGGGCAGGTGTGAATGTAGCAATTGCTCTCGAATGTGTTACAGAAATGGACCAAAAAAGTGTCCTTGGTCTCGGTACACTTTCAAACGAACCCTGGAGCAGTTCTTTCGTGATGAGAACAGGATCCTAACTAGAACAGACCTAACCGCAAAAAGTACTGCGCCTTTTTGGACTAATACAGCTGCTTTGGTCCGATGCGCTGTGCTTTAAGGGATGTGGATGAAAAATGTTTGTTGACAAAAAATAATTTTACCTAATTTACAATACCTGATGGATCGCTGGTAAGATATTCGGAAGATGACCATGTGGCAGATTAACTAAATTAATTCACGCCTTCTCTAGTGACTTGCGATGCACCTTCGCCATTTGCAATGCATTGAGGACATTGTTTTCCAGCCGCAGCTGCACTTCATTCTCAAAATGTATAGTTTATCTTAAATGATTTATACAAACTACATAGTATACTATGAGCAGGGATAAAATCAGCCAGCGCAGTCGTCCCTCCATAGTAAAAAGAGACATTTTGTGTCTGTTTGTTTACTTGCTGGAGTTTAATTGGCCTTTTCCTGCACGTTAATTCTGACCAAACGAAAAGCAGTTAAAGAAATGCATTCAACATCTGCCAATGAATGATGTGGATTTTGTCACCCGACTGCATTTTGGTTGTTTTAAACTGGTTCAGACCAAAGCAGGACCCAAATGGCTCCGTTTCCACTGAGTGGTTCGGTACGCTTTCATGGCCGTTTCCACTGTCAAAGGGTACCTAAAAGCAAACCGTACCGTACCACTTTTAGTTACCCTTTGCAAAGGGTACCTAGCACAAAAAAGGGTACCAAAAGGCGGAGCTAGACGAACAGCTGAAGCCTATGGGTTTACAGAGATACGTCACTCGGAGAAGCAGGAGAATGAAAACAAAAGAAGCGCCATTTTTAAAAACACAGCCGAGACATTACACTGTAATAATGTATACATATAATAACAAGCCATGGACGATCCAAGCTCAGACCTTGTCGTCGTCTTGATGAACAGCCACAAAGCCAAGAAGAACAAAATCTGTCATGTCCTGTTGTTTTTTTATGAGCCCGTCTATAAGTGTGGTTCCCGTGGTTCCATCCCAAAGAGGGAAGAAATCACTTTAGCGAATGCTCACGCTCAATCTGCCCAGTTAGTGGAATGAACTCCCTAACTGCATCAGAACAGCAGAGTCACTCGCTATTTTCAAGAAACGACTAAAAACTCAACTATTTAGTCTCCACTTCACTTCCTAATCTGCAATTGCCTCTCTTAATATCACACTAACTGTACCCAAAAAAATAAAAAATAAATAAAAAATAAAAAATACTAATACTACTAATACTTTCCTTCGTAGACTTTACAGACCTGAAACTTGCCTATAGCACTTATTCATTGTTGCTCTTAGTTGTGTAAATTGCTTCCTTGTCCTCATTTGTAAGTCGCTTTGGATAAAAGCGTCTGCTAAATGACTAAATGTAAATGTAAAATGTAAAGTGTGAGCGCTTTTCACTTTTTTCAGAGAGCTCGCCGAGAGTCTATATTTGAAATAACAAACTTCCAACCCAAGCTCATTCTGAAAACGTAGTCCCGCGGACGTTTCTGGAGACAGCGGAATACGTCCCGGGGGGTACGTATGGCCGCATTAATTTTTTTCAAGCGAACGCTGCGGGGTGGTGTGACGCTGTTCCCTTTTGCGCTTGCCTTACCTCCTTGTGGAGAGCTTCCCCGCTGCAACCCGTTTGTCCACTCAGCTCAGTGTGTACGTCGGCAGGCTCGAGATGCAGAGAGGAGTTTCGAGTCCGGGGAAGAGCCATTCCAGCAATGAGGTAAGACAAAAACAGAATCCCAAAAATTAAGTGAACGAGTTTCCTGAAAGTGTGAGAATGCGGCGAAATCTGAAAACGCTGTGGAATAAAAAAAAATCAGGGCTTTTATTTTTTCGGACGGCTTTTGTGAACTGTCGCTCGGGTTTAGGGAAGCGAGCGGGCGGGCGGGTCGATCAGTAAAATTGGTTGGATTCAGGGAAGGAGGAGGGTGAGTCGGCCGATTGGCTGGTCGCGCAGTCAATCATCCGGTCAGTCAGACAGCAGCCTCCGGCGGGTTCACGCGAGAACAGCGCGGGCGCTAACCACGCTCGCGAGAGGCGTCTGAGGTGCAAAAAAACGCACAACAGCGGCCTCTTGCGGATTCGCGAAAACAAAAACTGCAGCCGTACGTACCCACAGGGACATATTCCGTGGTCTCCAGAAACGTCCGCGGGACTACGTTTCCACAATGAGCTACAGTATATTTTTTGTTGTTTTTGAGCCCAAATAAGGACTAAATGTATGCTGTGTGTAGTTTTTCTTTAACATTGTTGACTGTAAGTGGGTTTTATGTGTTCATATATTTCGCATTTATATATTTATTTTATATAATAACAGAAGTTACAGTAGGCTATTTTGATCGGCAGTTATAACCAAATCATGTTCATAGAAAGGTTAGTCATGAACATTTATAAACAAGTTATTATGCGTATAAAGCAACTGTTTTTGTGAGAAGAGCTTCTCATTTGATATGTGAACGACCCGTCATGCTTTACTGTGACATTTCCTTGAGTAAAAATGACATCGTCTGAAACTTTCTGTCGTACACCACGCCCACCAAAAGGGTACCCTTTTGGCAGTGGAAACGCAGGCTTGATAAAGGTGACTCATATCGACCCGTACTGTACCATAATGTACCTTTTAGTGGAAACGGGCCAAAAAAGCACCCAAAAACAACAGAAAAATGCTAGAATGTATCATCTGTTGCCCTTGGTCCGGACCAAATAAGCCGAACCACAGATGTAAAATGGCTCTAAACAATTAAAAAAATGCTTTCATGCTAGCCGAAATAAAACAAATAAGACTTTCTCCAGAGGAAAAAATATTATAGGAAGTACTGAGAAAAATTCCTCGCTCTGTTAAACATCATTCGGGAAATAGTTGAAATAGAAGATTGACTTCAACTGTATATGAATGTAGCACATAATCAGTCAGGCAAAAATTGTTTCGTGGTTGCGATTCGTACCCCAGCCGATGATGGTGTACCAGTAGAAGTAGCGTCTCTCTGGAAAGAAGGTTTCGACCAGAAGAGTAAATAGATAAAGACCTTCGATGAAGAGCCAGAAGTAGTTTGACATCACGCAGTAGTGGAAAAACACCATCACCGCTTTACAGCCCACCTGAACACACGCACACACACACACGCACGCAAACACGCAAACACACACACACACACACACACACACACACACACACACACACACACACACACACACACACACACACACACACACACACACACACACACACACACAGGTTTGCATTAAAACCCTTTGATTCCTGGTAACACCTGTGAATGTACAGTACATTTATGAAATGCATTGCAAAAATTTTAAAACGAATTTTGAACCCAATTTTGTCCATACTTCCACAAAATTGTAGAAATTTATTAAAACAACAACACAGATTTTGTTTTTTGGAAAAAAAAATAACCATGTAATTTAAAATACAAATAAACATTTACTAAGAATAAGCACAAGACAATACACAAGACATGTCACTCGTATAGTTTTGAAAGGGGAAAAGTGTATCAGTCAATATGGTGAATGAAGCCCTGCCTTTTCTAGTACAGGAGCCAATCATTAATCACTATAGTCTTATGTTACTAGCATACTGATGATACAGGAGCCATTCAGACAGAAAGTCCGAGCACACTGCCCGAGAGGCATTTCAAAGATGGCCGAGAGGCATTTCAAAGATGGCCGAGAGGCATTTCAAAGAGGGACTTTGAAATAATATAATAATAATAAAAATATCAATCTATCTTTCTCTCTCTCTCTCTCTCTACACACACACATACACATATACATATTATATATATATATATATATATATATATATATATATATATATATATATATATATATATATATATATATATATATATATATATGTGTGTGTGTGTGTGTGTGTGTGTGTGTGTGTGTGTGTGTGTGTGTGTGTGTGTGTGTGTATATAATTATATATAATTACACTCTAACTTTTATTTTAGCATTTTAGCAACATATGGATTTTGTTAGCTTACATTGGTAGTTTTGTGGTGAACAATACAACAATTCATCTGTTCATGTCATTCATGGCTTTTGTAATCTTTATAAAATGCACTTCCTGTTTGTTTTCAGTTAAATTCTCAGATTAGGTCTGTCAGAGGTATTGGGTGTGGCTAACATACTTAGTGACGCCCCTCCAACTGTGAATCACTATGACAACAAACAGAAATGATGAGCAGGAGGCGCCTGTTAGGGTGAAATAATTGTCCAAAAACCCTTTCCCTGATCTTTCTAAATGAAATGCCGACTTTACTACATGCAATCATGTAGGAAATCATGGAAAATTCAAAACAAGCCACACCCACTGTTTCTCTAGGAACTGTGACAAATGCAAAAACAAAAAAATGGTTGCAGCTTCCGGTTCATGCGAAATTTAATACAAAAGACTTTAATAAAAAAACAAAGCTAAAACAATAAACAAATAAAAACAAAACAGTATTAAACAATATTAAACGTATTCCCAACTAAGTGTTTACTCATAGACACTGCAATAGTATCTCAGTGATAGCAAAAAAATACATTATAATTATTTATCACAACGCAATAATTAGACACATGCAGATTTTAAAGCATACAATGAAATTAATAAAGAAAAAAAATATTCTAATTTGGGAAAATTCATAAATAACTTTTCATAAGCATGCATATTTACAAACAAAAGTAGAAACAGACTATTTTAATCAGCCATGTCTTTTGTAGTTAAGTGAAGTTTATTCAACTAATTTTGAGAAGATCACATGCTTATGATTGTCCACGTGTAACCCCTGCATAAACTAACACATGACATCATCTCATGATCTACCTGAGCTCAAACTCCCCTCTCGTCCTGCTAAAGGGAGGGAGCCCAAGGCTCAAGGATCTCAGGGCTCTCTCCCGGGACAGCATGCCAAACAAGCTTTATAATCAATCATCAGCTAAGTGTGAACTATTAAACTGCAAAATTTACTTCAGAATCCAACATTTTTTGAAAGTTATATAAGCAGATGGATCAGTGATGCATCTGCCAAAAGTCCATTTCCATTCATTTCCATTCACAACAGCCTGAAGTCTCGATCCGTGTTCATCAATTACCCCCTGATCCAATCAGAAGCCGAGTGATGTCATTAGCAAGGCCTGTGATTGGCTGGAGGACAGAGCTCGGAGTCCTCATTCAGGTGTATAATGAGAGTGTGCATGTTTTTTTGTAAGCTATTCATATGCTAATAGAGGAATAATGGAGGATTTCCAGAGCTGGCTGAACCCGGCTTCATGATAATTACAGCTGTTTGTCAGACACAGACACGTGTTGGGGCTTGAACCAAAATAGATGGAGTTATTACAAATGCATCCAGGAAAAATCTGACTGTGCACGGAGGAAAAACTGATTCACCACACTAAATAAAAAAAATATAAAAGATTAATTGGATTTACTGGATGTATTTAAAATAAGTAGTTGCAAATAATTTAAACAAATTAAATGTAGTAATGGTCAACTTAATTTTCTTGTTTAAATTCAGCCCATATAAACTATTTGCAATCTCTTACCTTAAAGAGTTTCAGTAAATCTAATTAATAATTTTTGTTGAGTGTGGGTAAATCACTGTAAAATCAAAGCGTATGGAGACATTTTAAACCACATTTTTTTACTATTACTAGTAATACACCACAATTATGTACCATCAACTTAATCTGTGGTTTATTTGATACATTTTTACTTACTAGGAAACACTGAATTAAAACCTTAGTTGTGTATAAGTTTTAAAATTGTACATAAGGCAGCTTGATATCTTTTTTGATGTAATTATGATATAACTATGCTTGTAGCTCAACATATGAACCGACAGGATAGAAACTTCTTCTAACATACATCACATAATTAAGACAAAAGGTTAGCAATAAATAAATAAATAAATAAATAAATAAAACAAACAAACTAATGTATACAAAAACAAATAAATAAATCAAAATTAAACAATCAAATACATACATAAATAAAGGAATGAATAAATAAATTAGTATTTAAATAAATACAAACAAACAAAATAAATGCATACATAAACCAAATAAACAAATAATGAAATAAACAATCAAATAAATAAAATGAATGAATGAATAAATAAATCCAAACAAACAAACTAAAATTATTTTATACAAACCAAATAAATTAATAAAATCCAAAAAAACTTATAATGTAAAAAAAATAAATAAATTATATATATATATATATATATATATATATATATATATATATATATATATATATATATATATATATATATATATATATATATATATATATATATATATAGGAATTATGAACAAATAATATTTAATTTAAATTTACGTTGGTTAGTGGGGTGGCTGCATATGGGTAATGATTATCTATAGAAAAATAATTATAATTATTATAATTATCATTATTACTATTATGTTTAATATTAAAGACCAGTATATGTTTATATTTAAATATATAAATATTTAAATAAATGATATTCATACATGACTTAAATAATTCATATTTGGTTTCATTTTAAAGAATTTTTTAAATAAAATATTATTTTATCCAGTTTATATAAGAGTATAAGTTATTATAGTAAGTAAGTATTATTATTTTTTCACATTTAAAGACTAATATAATAAATTAATAAACATTAAAAATATATAAATAATATATCATATTATTTATTATTATACAGTATTATATATTACATTAAATAAAATTATACAGTAAAATAAATTATATAGTATTACATAAACTAAATTATACTAAATTATATAGTATTATATAGTACTATAATAAATAGATATATTTATGTATTAATATTTAAAGAAACAATATTCATATTTGGATTATTCATATTTGATTTAATTTTTTTAAGATCCTTTTATCCACTTTTTATAATATATATGATCCTTTTCACTACCATTTTAATAAAAAAAAAAAAAACAGAACAAACATGTCCTTGAGATTTTGTTCTTCCTCTTCTAGTTCTTCTTGTTCTGTAATACTACTACTACTATTACTACTACTACTAATAATAATGATGATAATGATAATTGATATGAATATTAAGGAATAATTCTTAAAGTGTTAATGTAAAAAGATATGTGTGACTCACAGTGTGAACGAAGCAGTGGTCACTGTCCTCCTCTGCATACAGAACTCCATCTTTAATAAAGACAGAAATGGCCCTCAGGATGAAGGACACAAACAGGTTCATGTGGATGAAGTTCCTGGTGCAGTGAAGCTT